GTGCACCTTCCTCTCTAACTCGCAGTTTGGCTTCTGGAGTGATCCAATAGAAAAGAATTGAAACGCATTGCTGTAATTATTAGAGATATGATGTCACAGAAGACAAGAAAAATGGAATGCAGATGTGGTATACACGGACTTCGCAAAGACATTTGATAAATGTGACCATGGAGTGATAGCACACAAAATGAGGTCAATGGGAATAACCAGTAAAGTAGGACACTGGATACTCAGTTTTTCTGGGGGGAGCCCCGTCGGCTCCCCGGAGCTTTACCGGCTGATATGCTAATGTCAGACTTTGGCATCAGTCATGTGTATGGAGTTCTAGGGCCTACTGGGGACCACGGCCAGAACCTGGCCCCCTCAGAGAGGCAAGGGGAGCAATGGCCTATAGAAACCCCCGTGTGGTTGGAAGCATTCTATGTCTGCCATCGACCGGGTCAAGCATCCAGAAAGGTAAGCATTCCAAAACAAACCCCTATTCTGGTGAAAATTGCTACCTAAAGCCGAACTAGTGGATAGAACTCTTCAACAGAAAACAAGGAAACTAGTATGATGTCATACATCACCGCGCCGCTGTCTGCGCAGCTCCCCCCTCCCCGGGAGGGGGAAGGGGGAGCCCCAGACCTCCCACGCCGACTATGCACCCATCAGTTCTTCGGCTGATGCTATAGGCAACGGTTATGTGCTCCAGCTCCAGTGGTTGTTTCAGCACTGTACCTAGAGTGTGGTGTCTGTTTTCTAGGTGGTGCGTGAGCCGGGAGTGATTCTCCATTACTCGGGCTGCATGCGCCTAGGGTTCCCTTCCCTAGGTGCCCTGTAAGTACTGCCCTTGGGGCTTGGGGCCACCTTCCACAAGTTCCTTGGGGCCTGCCCCTGCTTGGCCGTTTACTGCTTGGTTTTCGGCCGCTCTTTGTGTGCTCGGGTGTTCTGTCTCCCTTGTTCGCCTTAGAGTAAGGGGCAGTTTTTGCACTGGTGGGGCGCAGGGTACTGTGCAGCTTGTCTTTACCAATCATAGCGGCCGGCTCTGTTCCGCTTGGGTACGCTGTCCTCTTGCGGGGTTTTCTTTTTCTTTTTGTTTATCTACCTGGTAGGGGGGGGGTCTGCCTTCGTCCTTGCCCCTTGTGTCCCTTGTGTTCTGAGTATTTTCTGGTGGTACCCCTTGCTAGGTTCCCGTGAGTGTACACGTCCCGGGGGTTCAGCTCTTAGAAAGTTGTTTGGTAGCTTTGGGTGCCGGTTAGCAGTACCCTGCCTGGGATTACCTGAGCGCGAGTCCTCTTATAGTAAACGCTCGGGACCCTGGGAAACCCCTGGGGGCGCGCGGGTCCGATGGATGTGACCCCAGAGTACCCCCCCTCGCTTCCAGCGAGTTTGAAGGGTTGCTCTCACCCTTTGTCTCTGGGTGACTCTCTGTTTTGCCTCCGTCTGCTGCCTGTGGGGTCGGTGACACCTTCGACCTGGAGTCCTGCGAGTTTGGTTGCTCGTTGGGGCTCGGTTACCCAGTTGTGCTGACAAAGCGGGTGCGGGCAGCATGGGCGTTGCACTTGAGCCTTGGTGGTGGCAACGTTCTCGTGGTTTCCTCCCCAGGAGGCCCGGGGCTGCCCCGTTGTAGTTCGTTTTGGGACTTGGGGGTGTTGGTTGCTTCGGTTCCATCCACGCCCCCTTGTCTTTCCCCTGGATCACCCTTCCTGCCTGCATCCGGTTCCTTAGCGTCTGTAGGTTCGGGGCTGGGTTTTTGGTGGTGTTGAGACTCTGGCAGTCTCGGGGAATTCCCCTTCCGGGGTAGTGACGGGGGCATTTAAGCCTGTTCCTCCAGCCATGTTGTATGAGTCTGCCAGTGGGCTCCCTTCCTTAGTGTTTTCACGGCTGCCCCGGTTTTCTGGTACGGCCGGGGCTTTGGGGGAACAGCTTGGCCCCGGGGCCTGTCGTGTAGGTTCCCGGGGCTGAGGAGGGGCTGACTTGGGGGGCCTTGGCCCCGTTGGACCCCGTTTGGGTTTTTATCCCCCTCTAGGCGGGGCTTGTGGTTACGCGGAGTGGGGTCTTTCCTCCCCACTCGCCGTACGTGCTGTTGGGCGTCGGCCCCTCCCCGGGCTCGGTTCCTTGGCCTTTGAGTCGGTTGGTTCCGTCCTGTGGGTGGATGTTTCCTCCCCCCCCTTTTTGGGACGGTGTTTTCGTCATGTTTCCCCGTTCGATGGGGTTCTGCGTGAGTTCTGATCTCGGGTGCGCCTGTGCCTTCGTGTGCCTTCGGGACTAGTGTTGGCTTCTGTGTTCTCGATGGTACGGGAAGTTTTTCGCTACTTCCTGCATTATTAGAACGTCTGTCGGCTCCTCGTCCTTGTCGCCCTGTTGGGCTGCTTGTCGCCCTGTTGGGCTGCTTGTCGCCCTGTTGGGCTGCTTGTCGCCCTGTTGGGCTGCTTGTCGCCCTGTTGGGCTGCTTGTCGCCCTGTTGGGCTGCTTGTCGCCCTGTTGGGCTGCTTGTCGCCCTGTTGGGCTGCTTGTCGCCCTGTTGGGCTGCTTGTCGCCCTGTTGGGCTGCTTGTCGCCCTGTTGGGCTGCTTGTCGCCCTGTTGGGCTGCTTGTCGCCCGGTTGGGCTGCTTGTCGCCCGGTTGGGCTGCTTGTCGCCCGGTTGGGCTGCTTGTCGCCCGGTTGGGCTGCTTGTCGCCCGGTTGTTGTCGCCCGGTGCTTGTCGCCCTGTTGGGCTGCTTGTCGCCCTCTGCTGGGCTGCTGTCGCCCGGTTGGGCTGCTGCTTGTCGCCCGGTTGCTTGTCGCCCTGCTTGTCGCCCTGTTGGGCTGCTTGTCGCCCTGTTGGGCTGCTTGTCGCCCGGTTGGGCTGCTTGTCGCCCGGTTGGGCTGCTTGTCGCCCGGTTGGGCTGCTTGTCGCCCGGTTGGGCTGCTTGTCGCCCGGTTGGGCTGCTTGTCGCCCGGTTGGGTTCTTTTTTGGGCTCTTTGCTTCTTTGGCCGGTTTTATTGTTCCTGCTTCCTCTTTTGGCTACTTTTCTCGTTCAGTAGTCCTGGCTGGCGCCTTCCCGCAGAGAGGGTGTGTGCGGTTCGGCCAGCGTGTTATGCGCATGCGGCGTGGAGTTTGTTTTGGTCTGGGCGGTGTTTTAGTGCTGGTGTTTTGCGCCCTTTTTGCTACAGTGCTTTGCCTCTCGTTCTTTTCCCTGGCTGCGGTATGTGCCCCTTCGCGCCGGGGGTGTCCTGGTTCCCAGTTGTGGGGGAGGACACCGTGGTTTTCCCTGTCATGGGTGTGGACCGCCTCCTTCGCCTCTCCCTGCTCTCCTGCGGGTCCGGCAGGGTCCGGCTCTGGCGTCTTCACCTGGCGGTGCTCCCAGGTTCTTCTGGGCACGGTTGAGTCGTCAAGTTCGTGCCACCGTTCGCCAGGTGAGTTTCTGCGGTCTGGCGTCTTTTGGCCGGGCGCTGGATGCGGAGTTGTTTATATACCTGTCTTTAGTTAGGTATATTTTTGTACGACTGTGACCGTTCGCACACCAGTGAGTGTCCCTTTTTCAACCCTTCCTGCCCCCCTCATGTGCATGTCCAGCCCATGCTGGAGTCATTCAGGGGACACTCCTTTTTTAATGTTGTGAGGTGTGGGGGTTGTAGGGTTGGTTCTGTACTCACCTGGTAAGGCTAAAACCATGTGGTTTTGCTCGTTAATAGAGGTCAAGCTCGTCAATAGACACACACTTGCTGTTTTTTTTTTTTTTTTTTTTATTTATTTATTTATTTATTTTTTTATTATTTTCTACCACAGACGTGGCCACACATTTACAATGCTAACCAGCATATATACATTTTCTTCTGTCCTCCATGGACAGGGTTAGACACATTTGCTGTGAGTGGCTTGCTCATTACTGGAAATGCTCGTAAATAGAGCCGCTCTTTAATCGAGGTGCCACTGTATTAATAAAGTTTTCGACTGGGCAACAGAAAATAACATGATATTTAACAGTGATAAATTGCAGGTACTCGGGTATGGTAAAAATGAGGACCTAAAACATAATACATTACACAACACAATCAAATCTGGCCTTAGTAGGAAAGCAACATGGAAAGGATTTGGGAATAATGATGTCTGATGACGTAACATTTAAGGAGCATAACTAAGCCAATATTGCTTCAGCCACAAAAATGGTAGGATGGATTACGAGAAGTTTCAAATCCAGGGATCCCATCACAATGGTTGTACTATACAGATCACTTGTACTGTCCTGTCTTGAGTATTACTCTGTACTCACTTTCCCCTTCAAAGCAGGAGAGATTGCTGAAATGGAGGGAATACAGAAAACATATACAGCATACATAGACGTGATAAAGCACCTAAATTATTGGGATCGTCTTAAAGCTCTCCAAATGTACTTACTAGAAAGGAGACAAGAGAGATATCAAATAATATACACATGGAAAATGCTGGAGGGCCAGGTCCCAAATCTGCACAGTAAAATAACAACATACTGAAGTGAATGATATGGAAGAAAATGCAGAATGGAACCAGTGAAGAGCAGAGGTGCCAGAGGCACAATCAGAGAACACGGTATAAACATCAGAGGTCCATGGTTGTTCAACATCCTCCCACGAGTATAAGAAATATTGCCGGAACAACCGTGGACATCTTTAAGAGGAAACTAGATAATTTTCTCCAATAAGTGTCGGACGAGTCGGGCTGTGGTGGATATGTGGGCCTGCGGGCCACTAAGCAACAGCCTGGTGGAGTAAGCTCTCACAAATGAAGCGTGGCCTTGGGGAGTAGAAGAACTCCAAGAACCCCATCAAGCAGGTATCAAGTAGGAATTCACATAAGTTGAGGTTTGAACCAGTGATTAATTCAGCCATTGTTTTGGAAATAGTAATTTCAATAGTTTAACAGGTATACTGCATGACATTTTTAACACCACAGAGTGGCAAAAACACATCTAGTTAACATGTTGTCATCCATTATGTATTGGCATGTTTATCTTTAGAAGTTTTTTACAAGGGTATTATGTTCTTTATTGTTACAGGAAACTCCTGAGCACCTACACAGAGCAGCCGAGTTCAATGTGACCCATCATTGGCAGAAACTCTTCAAGGATGGCTTAATTCGTAATCAATGAAACAAGTGGTGTCATATTGACAGGAAAGATCAATTGTAGTAAAGGCTCCTGTGTGTGCCGTGTCCCATATAAGAAAAAACCAAATACCAAAGAATTTTCCATTGAATGTTTGTTTGTTTTTCAGGTTATTATTGTGTGTTATTAGTATCATCTTAACTCTTGTGGGTTGTGATGAGATCTACCATTTATGTGTATTTTAGTTTGTGTTTTGATAGAGTATTAGGTATGCTTAGGGGTGCCTTCTTGCCATGGCCTGTGGCTGGGGGGATTGGTGCCCTGAAGCTACATAAACACCCTATACCCCCCTGAAGTGACAAGGGAAGTTAGGGGACAAGAATTGCCCTATTTAATTGAAACTAGTTCTGTGTATCTTGTATCTGTTATATGTGTTGATTCCATGGGGAATAATATGAATGAGGTAAAATTTAAAACCAATACTTCTCTCTTAATAGTATCTTGAGAGAATTAGCTTCATTCTTTACATGGTACTGTGGGTGAATTATAAGGTGTCTTTAAGACAAAGACATCCAAACAACCCAAGTTTGAATCAACTCTGAATTGATGAATTAGTGTCTGTATGTATGAACAGTATATACAGTATATCTGTTTATGTCAAGGACTATGTCTTGAAATGTTTCATCATTGACATGGCATCTCATGTTTGGAAGGTTTTTGTTATCCAACCTGTCAGTTTTCTTGCAGTTCCAACAGCAACTTTGTTGTGTTCTTTTAAAGTAAGGTCTTCTGATATGATTACTCCTAAATCTTTTACATTGGCTTTTCTTCAATAGTGTGGTTTCACTGTGTTTTTTGTGGTTTGTGCTTTGATGTTTTTGTTGTTTACATAGTGCAGTAATTAGAACCTATCCTCATTGAACATCATGTTATTTTCTGTTGCCCATTAATTAAGATCAGATTAACAAGGATGTTTGCTTTATCCTGTTCTCTGTCTGTCTACTCATGAAAAATCTAGTGTCATCTGCAAAGGATGATACAGTACTATAATTTGTATCCTTGTCTATGTCTGATATGAGGAAGAGGGGAAAAGTAGACGAACAAGCACAATACCTTGGGGACACAGGGAACACAAAAAAGGGGAGCTGAGCTTTTCACAATGGATGACTTAGATTTTACTTTGTTCACTATTACACTCTGGGTTCTGTTTGTTAACAAGTTAAAGATCCATCTCCCTAGTACTTCGTAAAGGCCCAAATCTACACAGTAAAATAACAATATACTGGAGTGAACAATATGGAAGAAAATGCAGAATAGAACCAGTGAAGAGCAGGGGTGCCATAGGCACAATCAGAGAACACTGTATAAACATCAGAGGTCCACAGTTGTTCAACATCCTTCCAGCAAGTATAAGAAATATTGCCGGAAGAACCGTGGACTTCTTCAAGAGTAAACTAGATAGTTTTCTTCAAGACGTGCTGGATCAACCAGGCTGTGGTGGATATGTGGCGCCCGTGGGCAGCTCCAAGCAACAGCTTGTTGGACCAAGCTTTCACAAGTCAAGCCTGGCCTTGGGCCAGGCTTGACTTGCCCACCCATCTGCCTGGTAGCCAACCAGCCCCCCCCACCTGCTAGCCAGCCTGCCCGCCAGTAACATTTTGAAGGCATTCTGGCATTTATGGACACAAGTTACAGTGAGTTCGAAACTAAGGACATGATGAGCCAGTACAATTTGTAAATGAAGTTTTTTAAAAAAAGATCAAAGGGAATGAAACAAATGTTAATTAAAGAGTCTTTTGCAAAGGCCTTCAAGAAAGTTTGCATCGCCAACCTGCACCTGACTCATCACATGTTGACCCAAATGCTTCAACATCTGAGGTTACCTCATCACCATTATTCTCCACTTGAGCCAAACCAACACCAACAACATCCACCACCACCTCTTCCATGTAAATAACTATTCTTCATCAATATTGATCATCAACATAACAGGTGGAACCCACTAGATTGTTTTTGAATTTTCTCTATTTTGGTTCTATCATTTGTCGCTTATTTTTGTCCTATATTTCTCGTTTACGAACTTACACGATTACCGACAGATGTTATCCCAAGGGGTTCCCAAACCAAGTGGTCCTCTGTATGAAGGAGGTAGTAGTAGTAGTATTAGGCATCCATCAGTCTCAGGAGACTGTGGAGTTGCGCTCTGGTTGTCAGTCTGGGGTTGCTTCTCCAGGTCGCCAAACCAGGGTAGGTTGATACGGGGTTACTTTGCCATTAATTCCTTTTGTGTGAATTTTGTTTGCAATAATACCATGGTTACATGTGTTGAAGGCTTTTGCAAAATGTGTTTATATTGCATCAGCATTTTGCTTGTCTTCCAAGGCATCTGAGGCCATGCCATAGTCCAGCAATTGTGAGAGGCAGGAGTGCCCTGTTCTGTTGGCCATGGTATATGTAGCAAATTTGGGGGGTTTAATATGCAAAAACAAACACCACTTGCCTACATGTTGACCAGGGATATGTAGACACTGTGATTTCATGTGTTTTGTGATCTTACCATTCGTTTTCAAAGATTTTTATGATGAGCTATTGGTCTATAATTTTTTGCATCAGTTTTACTACCTCCTTTGTGAAGTGGCAAGATCGTTACTGTTTTAAGTACAGTGCATCCTCACGCTAATGAACCCCGCTGTAACGAGTTTGCAGATTATCCGATCCAATTGCATTCAGTATTAAATGTTAAGTGAAACATAGTGATGTTCGAGTAAGGGAGGATTGTTCGTTCAAGCAGTCACCGAGACTGAGCGTCGGAAGTGGGTGTCATCAACCATGTTTCGCCAAAGTGTAAAGAGTTGTACAGTGTTTTATTTTGCTTGCCCATTGTTTCCATGGAGAAATGGTTGAAGGATGATAAAATGGTGTCAGGGGAGGCAGTTGGTGTCACTTTTTATGGTTGGAGTCAGGGAGCAAATGTTGTCAATAGTTGGGGTTTAGTGTCAGGGGGCAGGTGGTAGAAGTTGTTGTCAGGGGGCAGGTGGTAGAAGTTGTTGTCAGGGGGCAGGTGGTAGAAGTTGTTGTCAGGGGGCAGGTGGTGTTAGTGGTGGAAGTATTTTTTTTGTTGTACCACAGACGTGGCCACACATTTACAATGCTAAGGAGCATATATACATTTTCTTCTGTCCTCCATGGACAGGGTTAGAGATGTGTTAAACATATAGTTCAAGGGTTTATTGAACAATCAACCACAGAAGGTGATTCAGTGCTTTTAAAATGCTAAGCTAACCTACATATGTAAATACATAGATACACAGATTTACGTATGCCCTAGATAAAGTGTTCGATGTGTCTTTTAGATAGTGTCATTAATGTGCATTTACAAAGGTGAAATGTAATTCTGATCATCCATATGTACTTTATACACATACATATACATACACACATATACTGCCTCGTGATATTAGAAAGAACTTATTTAGTGTGAGAGTGGTTGAGAAATGGAATGCATTAGGAAGTGATGTGGTGGAGGCTGACTCCATACACAGTTTCAAGTGTAGATATGATAGAGCCGAATAGGCTCAGGAATCTGTACACCTGTTGATTGACAGTTGAGAGGCGGGACCAAAGAGCCAGAGTTCAACCCCCGCAAACACAACTAGGTGACTACATACATATATACATACGTGTATACATACATATATACACACACACATGCATTCACATACATTTGTCTCTTTTACTCTGAGAGGGTGAGATAGCTGATAGAGAAACTAGTGTGCAATTAAGCACTAAAATCACTGAAGGTGATGAAGGTGCATTTACAAGCTCAGGTTATATAGTTACATCACCTACATACATTGTATAATTGATACATTACATGGTCAAGCTTGGATACAAGTCCAATATATCATCAAGTGTTCCAGTACTCATATAGTAATTACAGAGTTCAGCATACCTTAGCCCAGGAGGGGGAAAGTCAGTCAATATGGGACATTCTACAATATAATGTTCAAGAGAGTGAATGTTTTCTCTTTCACAAAGTTGACACATTGTGTACTCGACATTTGGGTTTTGAGAAAGCTGCCAGATACGTCTATATCCCAGGCGTATTCTTGCCACTATAACATCACATTGTCGGGTTCTTGTTGTATTAGTCGCATATGTGAATGTCTCCTCACGATATCTATCATAATAGTTAATGCTACAACTTTCCGGTGTTTTGTAATTTGTTAGGTGTGTGAGATCTTCATTAGATATTTGTATAAGTATGATCTTTGTCACTGCTAATGAAACACCCATATCAATTTCTAGCACTGGTTTTCTGCAGGCTGTCTTTGCAAGCATATCAACAGTGTCATGCCTTGAGATGCCAACATGTGATGGTATCAATAGGAATTTAATTTCAAATCTGTTTTCTTTAGCGGGTAAAACATTCATTCGAATATCACTGACTATTTTCTGTGTGTCACTACTATGTGCGTTCAATGCCAGGATGCGAGTCACAGTATGTAAGTCCACTGGGTTTGTCTTTTAAAAAATCAGTGGCAAGGTATATGCCTGCAAGTTCGGTTTGAGTTGTACTTGCCCAGTCATTGATGCGCTTCATTGCTGTATGTACGAGAGAAGATTGTTCAAATATATTGCATGCACATCTGGTACATGGTGCACGTTCTTCTACAGAGCCGTCGGTATAGCACTGATACACATCGTTACCCATACTCCGAGTACTTTCAGTGATGCTTTTGAGTGTTAACTGTTTTAATAATGTAGAGTGCACACTATCTTTCTTGGGCTCATTTACAAAATCCACTGATAGATCTCATTTATCCCATGGAGTAATTGGTTGATTAATAATTAATTAAGTTGGGTACATATTTAATATTTTGATGGAGTTTGGTACCTTGTAGAAGCAAAATACATAATCAGATTTCGTTCTTCTTCTATAGACCTCAAGTGAGTGGAGCATATAAGAAAGTTTAGCTTGAAAGTTCATGTGTTGTCTAGATGTACTCAATGGCTTCACGCCGAAAACTGGACAAACGTTCAGTAAACCACAAAGCTGAGGGCTATATCACCAGACTACAAAAGCGTGCAAAGTGCTTTATGAACTTAGGGGCTATTCATGCCCGTGCCACCTCTTGGGTGGCTTAATCTTCATCAACCAAACCTTATGAACTCATTTAACCCCATTCCCGAGTGCATTCTTGTTATGTGGTCAGTTATTTTTTGTAGCCAAGTAGTTATTTCTTGGGGAGTAGAATAACTCTCAGAACCCCATCAGGCAGGTAGATAGGCCTAAGCCTATCAACAGTTAAGTCTAGTCGTCTGCTGATATGATTGCTAGGCCTATAACTATGTGGTTCTTCCTGCAGAGTAATATTGTGAACAGATGGAACAATTGTAGATTTTACTTTGTCAATGGTCTTAGTTTAATTTTCTTGGAGTTCTCTGTATGTTTGTTTTCGCCTTCAGGCTGCTCAAAGGCAGTCCTGGGTGGTAACAAACTCCCTGTCTCTAGCATATGTATCAGTTCCACCGTGCATTCGGAGGCAAATATGGGATGGTATATCCATAGGAGATACTTTTAGTCCATCATTGATGATTTTATTAAATCCTTGCCTAGCTTCGGACAGAAGCATGTTACAGTAATGTCCTAAGTTGAGTGCAAAATTGAATGATGGTCACGTATTTGTGTGTCATCTCTGGATACATGCGTTAGCTTAAGTGCAAAAAGTATTTGCACATAACAAATATGACAAATATATGTTTGGAGAGTGAAGGTTCAGTTATTTACACGGGAAGTTTCCTCACTCAAGAAGAGCAGTCAACTGTTGTCACGACAACTTCACTTCAGGCAGCACTATTAATGTAGAAAACCATCAGTGTTGAAAGCTTTGGGAGAGGGAGCGCTCTGTGAGGGCATCAAGGTGTACATGATATAATAGTTGACCTGAGAGAGATGGTGAAACCGATCACACCTGCATGTGCGATGGTGTCCTACTGGTAGTGAGACTTAATGTTGTTCTTGTTTAAGATTCGCTACTTGGAACAAAAAGTTCCAAGTAGCACGGGCTATGGTGAGCCCGTAGTGGACTTACTTGGCACAGGAGAGGGGCTGTAGTCCGTCGAGAGACTTAATGTTGTTGTTGTTTCAGATTTAGCTACTCAGAACGAAGTGTCCATGTAGCACGGGCTATGGTGAGCCCGTAGCCACTTAATGACTAGACAGGCGTTTATATAGACGTGTTTAGGCTGGAGAGGTGTGGCTGGCCACACCCTGGGGCTGGGGG